ACTTTTTGTATTTTCATGCGCGCTCTAAATTTCTAATGATGAGTGCGCGCGCTAAAAACGTTATGAAAACAACTGAAAATATTCAACTTGCCACACTCACCCCCACTTTTAAGAAATTGTCGTCCTCGACAATTCTAAACTATAAATAACATAAATTAAACATAAGTAATAGTCGAAACTTCGACCAAGTTCATCGTTGGCTGTCTACTTCTTTGCTTTTCCTCCAGTCGCTTGGACCTTCTAAGAGGTTGYACTGCTGACCAATCTTGTTYAGACGCTCTTACTCTTGGATCATCTAAATAACCCTCGCTTGTTGTCTTTGGTTTGGTTGGTTGTCTAGGCACACAGTAAAACACGTCCTCCTCCTCTTCGTCGTCATCATCTGACATTACTGACGAGTCAGCTGGTCTCTTTCCTGGTCCTGATGGTCCTCTGAGAGTAGACTGCTGCTCAAACATAGGGCGACACAATCTGAACGAGCTACGATGAGCTCGACGAGATGTGCCATCAGCAACTGATCTTAAAGTATAAATAGGGCTCCCATCCTCCGGTACTTTAACAACCACGTACAAAGTAGGATTCCACGCATCTTGGATCTTATTTCTTCCTGGAATTCTATTCCTCATGTAAGCGTGATCTCCAACGTTGACTTTAGGATCACAGATCTTTTTTGCAAGGTGTTTAGTGCGTTCTTCGCTACATTTCTGGAGCTGCTTGGCTGCATTCTCATAACCTTTGAAGAGTCGTTCCCTGTGCATCCTCAACCATTCGTCAGCGTTTTCTGCAGTTTCTTCCTCTCTCCTCCCCAGCAAAAAATCTAATGGAATAACTGGGTCTCTTCCGAACAGCAAATGGTATGGACTGTACCCTGTTGAAGCATGAGGTGTGACGTTGTATGCGTATAATAATTCAGGTAGATACGTCGGCCATCTTGCTTTCTTTTCCGATGGTATGGTCTTCAACAAGTCATGCAGTGTTCTATTGAATCTTTCGCATTGGCCATTTCCTTCTGGGTGATATGGYGTTGTTCTTGTCTTCTTTATTCCGTACATACTGCAAAGTTCCTTAATCACATTGCTTTCGAAGTTTCTGCCTTGGTCAGAGTGAAGCTGTTTTGGAATTCCGTACTTGAAGAACCATTCGTTCAGCAACACCTTTGCTGTCGTACTTGCTTTTTGATCTCTTGTTGGCACTGCAACTGTGAATTTCGTGAAGACATCGGTAATCACTAGGACGTTTTCTCTTCCATCTGACGACTTCTCGATCAAGGTGAAATCAATCGCCACTATCTCCAAGGGTTTACTTGCTAGTAATGTGCTTGATGCAGGTCTTACTTTCGGTGTGGGTAGCTTCGCTAGGTTACAYCTTGTACAATTCTTAACATAAGACTCTGTATCTTTGTACATTCCAGGCCAGTAACATCGTTTACGCAACATCAGTATCGTTCTTTCTTGACCTTGATGTCCAAGCTGATTGTGAACGCCTTTTAGCACGCGATCTTTCATTACGTCTGGAATAACGAGTTGCTGTATCTCTCCATGGTGTGGATCATTTACACGTCTGTACAAAAGTTGATCCTCTTGATAAAGTCTGTCCAGTTGCTTAATCAGTACCAATGCCTTGTGGTGTTCTTTTCTGCGTTCTTGAGCGTTTGGTTTCCTCCTCTCTTTGAGATAGAATAGGGCTCTCTTTATGGATGGGTCTGATGCCTGCAACACTTGTATTTCTTCTTTTGAATATGAAGGAAACGAAAATGTTGGTTTGCTGTCTTCAACTGTAACTGATCTGCATTTTACGTCTGCTACCAAGGTACTCTGTAATTCAAAAGGTATCTTTGATCCATCTACGGGTATTTCGTTAGCGTCCAAGACGTCATCGTCTGAGTCCTCTTCACTTCCGTCAGGTCGTGTGCATCTTGATAGTGCGTCTGCTGCTTGATTTGATTTCCCGGTTCTGTACTTTATTTGAAAGTTGTAGAGAGCGAGCTGAGACGCCCATCGTTGTTCCACGGCACCCAACTTTGCTGTTCGCAGATGACTCAGGGGGTTATTATCTGTAAGGACAGTAAACGTCGATCCAAGCAAGTAGCTTTTAAACTTCTCTGTTACCGCCCATTTAAGTGCTAACATCTCCAGTCTCATCGAACTGTAGTTTCGTTCGTTCTTTTCAGTCGGTCTGAGACGTCTACTTGCGTAACTGATCACCACTTTACCTTCTTCTTGTTCTTGATAGAGAACTGCACCAAGGCCTGCAAGACTAGCATCGGTCTCCAATATGAATGGTTTGCTGTAGTCAGGATAACCCAGCAATGGCGGTGTTGTCAACTTTAGTTTTAATGTGTCAAACGCTTCTTGATGACGTGAAGTCCATCTTTCTCCTAACTGTAGGTTTGAATGTTTCTTTGTTACCTTCATTTCACCTAAGCAACTGTTCACTAATTCGTTTAGCGGTCCAGCAATTTGTGCAAACTTGTCGACAAACTTCCTGTAATACGACGCGAATCCTAAAAAGGAACGCAGTTCTTTCATTGTCTTAGGTACTTCCCAGTTTTCAACAGCAGCAATCTTTGTCGGATCAGGAGCGATTCCTTCAGCAGATACTTCATGTCCAAGGTATAACACCTTTGTCTTTAAAAACTGACACTTTGATGACTTCAGCTTCAATCCGTACTTCTCGATTCTTCCTAGCACAGCTTCCAGTCTCTGCAGATGCTCTTCAAACGTCTTAGAGTAAACGATTACATCATCGAGATATACGAGTAAAATGTTAAACATGAAATCACTCATACAACTTTGCATCATGCGTTGAAATGTCGCTGGTGCATTTGTCAGTCCAAAGGGCATTCTATTATATTCGAATAACCCGAAAGGCGTGGTAAAGGCTGTCTTGTGTTTGTCTTTCTCGTCCATTTCAATTTGATTAAATCCGCTGGCTAGATCCATGATCGAAAAGTATCTTGCTCCTTGAAGTGCATCCAAAGACTCTTCAATTCTGGGTAATGGGTAAGCATCTCGCACAGTCTTGGCGTTGAGTTGACGGTAATCCACGCAGAGTCTTAGTTCTCCGCTCTTTTTCCTGACAAGTACAATTGGAGAAGCATAAGGACTATGACTGTCACGAATAACACCTCTGCTGATCAGCTTTTGGATATGCTCTCTGACTTCCGCTAATTGGTTAGGTGGAATACGTCTGAACGGTAGACGAACGGGTACTTCATCAGTGGTATAAATCCTGTGGGTCACGCTGTCTGTATTTCCGATGTCGTCTTCATCGGTAGCGAATGCTTTCGTATGTTTACTCAGGAGAGCACGAAGCTGTTCTTTCTCTAGCAGACTACAATCTAAATCATCGATGTTGACAGGACAGTTCAGGTTCTTGCCACTACCTTCAGCTTTAGTTGACACTTCTATGCGATCTACATCTACTTGATTCATAGAGATTGTCTCTTCAGGTACTTCGTCTACATTGTAAGCAACGCCCACTCTTGTTCTCGGTTGTAACCATACGTCATCTTCATTAAGGTTAACTATTCTCACATAACTCCCGTTATTCTTTGCTTTAGTGTAAGTGTCCACAAGTACAAGGTTACCAGGTAATGGAGTCGATAATCTTTCAACTAGTATGTCATCTGAATCGCGAACTTGTCCACAGGAGACTCTTAACACTGCTACGGAACAACCAGCCACTCTCACTTGCGCTTTACCTGCCACTCGAGCGAAACCACAGGTATTAGGCTGTTTTCTCTCCGCTTGAACTCTAAGAACATTAATCCATGGACCTTGAATCTCGCACTCTTTATCAACATACAAGTTCTCTTTCAACTGACTAATAACATTCATCCCGATTAACGCTGGGAACTTACTCTTGACGGTGTCTTTTAGGATTAAGACTCCTCTTTGTGGTACTGTTATACCACAGGCTACAATATCAAGCTCGGTATAACCAATGTAAGGTATATCCAGTCCATTGGCTGCTGTAAGTTTCAGCCAACTTAAAGGCTTAAGGGCCTCTCCAACAAAGTGCTTTCTGAAAAAGCTTTCAGTTAAGGTCGTAACTTGCGACCCCGTGTCCAAAATACACGGTACTTTAACGTTATTCATAATGACAACGGCAGTAGGGCAATTCCCTACAGTCCTTTCAAATACGTCATCTGAATTATCAAAGTCTAAACTATCAGAAAAAGAGTCTTTGACATCCCCTCCCACGGCTCGACTCAATGCTGTGGGGGGCTTGTGTTTGACGAACCACTTGACTTGTTTTGCTCTTGCTGTGGTTTTGAAGATCTTTCTTGTTCTTGCGACTTGTTGGGGCAATTTTTGGCAATATGACCTAGTTCTCTGCAGTTGAAACACTCAATATTTTTGAAGGGTTTTCTCTTATCCCAGGCTCTGAAGGGTGTTCTCTTCTGTTCTTTAAGAGTTTGCACGGTCTTTACCAGGTCTTCAATCATTTTTTGCTGACGAGATATGGTTTCTTTAAGCTCTTTAAATCCTGAACCGGAAGCGGAAATAACTTCACACGATTTGACGTCATTGTCGGAGTAGAGATTGGTACGGAGTTCTTGCACTTTGCATTGACGGCTAGCTGTTTGCGTGACTTCTTCCTCTGACCATTTTAAAGCTTCTTCGCGGATTTCCAGAAAAGAAATGTGTGAATTACCTCTTATCAGCTTTTTGAGCTCTTTTCTGAGGAGAGAGTCTTTAACATTATCGACGAATTGATCACGGAGAGTCGCATCAGTCAGGCTGTCGGCTGGAGATTTTTGTCTGATTCTTTCAAACAAAGCTGCCAGGGCATGTGAGTATTCTCTGAGGCTTTCTTGATCTTTCTGTTTTCGGTTGTAGAACATTTTGAATAGTTCTGGCAGAGAATGCTTTTCTCCAAATTCCTTCTTTAATATTTCTGTCAATTTYTTAGGATTATTCTGATCTTCTCTGGGATGAAGGCGAATTTCTTCACGGGCTGGTCCGTCCAAGTGCGAAACGATGAATTCAACCTGCTCTCCCGCTGTCATTTTCCTTGCTTCAAATATTGCGTTGACTTCAGATAAAAATTCCTCAACTTTCTGGTAATAGTTTCCATCGTTGTATGACTTACCACTAAATTTCTTCAATCTCCGTTCTTGCTTATATACCACGAACTGTTTAGTGACTTGTTCTTCGTYTTTGTTTTTGCTCAAATTTCCTAGTTCGGTTTGTAGTTTTTCTACGAGACTTTTCAGTTCCTGAACCTCTGCCATTCTTGAAATTAGAGAGTCTTGACTGCCAACTGATCTCGCCGTTTTTTTTTTTCGTCTACTTACTGGTCTTTTTACAACTTCTGTATCCTGCTCGCGACGCCAAAATGTGACCAAGTAAACAACACGTACGAGTTTCGTCTTTACTATAACTCAGTTTATTACCACAACGAAACGGCGAGAACTACGATAAGTAATCAATA